CCAGGCTCTGCAGTGCCCAGGAACTTAGGGACATACAGGGGCCATGGAGTGCTTCAGCTCCACTGCAAGGGCCCCGGACCCACTCCCTAGCACGCACACGCGCGCGCAGACACACACCCTGGCTCACGCGTGCCGCGTGCAATGCAGAAATCCGGCAAGGAGGTGCGTCCCCCACAGGCCAGAGCGTGGGAGCTGGCAAAGAACTCGCGTGGGGGAAAGGGGAGGCACCACAGCAGCGCTCAGCCCGAGGCGGACTGTACAGCCCCTCCGGGGGTTTCCACTGTGAACCGGTGGGTAGGTCCTAGATGCACGTGGGCAGTGGGCTGCACAAGCTCACAGGCAAGCGCGCATTTCTGCGCACAGCCGCAGGCCGCGGCAGCAGTGCCCACGGCCATCCGGAGTCCGCACACGTCCTCAGGCGGTGCACACACATGGCCCGCGCCAGGTGCACAGTAGCGCGTGCCTGCAAATGCCAACACAGGCGTGCATGCGTGGCCAGGCGCGCGCCCCACGGGCCGGGCGCTCCTGGAGCCTGGGAAGTTGGGAGAACTCGCACTGGCCTCCACGCGATCAGTGTGAGCGCGGTGCAAAGCGGTGCCGCAGCGCCCCCTGGTGCTCGCCCGGCGCCTCGCCGCTGGTGCTCCCTCTCCCGCTGGCTCGCTCCCTCTCTCCCGATTCCTCTCCGGCTCTCCCTCCAGCCCGCCATCCCTCCTCCCCAGCCCGCCGAGCCCAGGTCTCCCGCTGGGACGTACCTGTAGCCGGAGAAGGTCGAAGATGCGGTGGGGCGCGCTGCGCGCACAAGCATCTCGGCCGCCTCAGCAGCCACCGGGGTTAGCGGGCTCCCGCATGATGCGGCCCCCGCGCGCGCCCCTGGCTGTCCCACGCTGTCCGCATCGCCCCCACGGGGGGCGGCTATCCCAGCCGGAGGCTCTGCAGCAGGGCTCTGCCGGGGCCGAGGAGAGACCGAGAGGCAGGGTCAGCCCAAAGGCGGAGGAAGGGACGTGGGGTGTAGGGGCGTGGGGCTGGGGGTAGGCTGCAGTCTGCAACACGCACAGCCCCCCGGGCGCCCAGGGGACTCGACCGGAGAGAGGGAGCTGAAGGCCGATGCCAGCGACGCCCCCAGTGCGGATCCTCAGACCTGGTGGCCGTTGTGGGGAGCTCCCCTCCGGGGCGCACAGGACACCCGATTGGCTGCCCACAGACAGCTAACTGGGCACTCCACCTTCGCCCCCTACCACCTCCCCAGAGCCTGATGCTGGGAGTTGTGCGGC